AAGAAGGAAAAATGCCGAACTCGCTTGTCTTTATAAGGACATAGACTTGGTGAGGTTTATCAAGATAGGTCGACTTCGATGGGCCGGGCACTTAGTACGTATGGATGATTCGGCAATACCCAGGAAAATGCTGTCCGGAAAGATACATGGACGAAGAAAGGTTGGCAGGCCAAATGTAAGATGAGAGGATTCAGTGACATCGGACGCACGGGCTCTGCTGGGAGTCCGAAACTGGAGAGCTGCTGCAGCTGATCGTATTGACTGGCGTAAGCTTTTGGAGGAGGCCCAGTCCCGGTGACGGGATGTAGCGCAATATATGTATGTATGTTTTATAATTTTTTCATTGTCTAGGAACTTCATAACTTTGGTAAGGATTTCTTCTTGATTTCCCAGAGATGCTGATATATTTTGAGGTATTCCGAGATCTTTTAACCTTGTGCTGTAAAAAGGGCACTCTTCCAAAACATGTTTTATAGTTAATGAATGGTGACGCTTATGACATCTGTGGATAAGATCTTTTGTTTTGAGGTGGGGGTGTGTCAGTCTGATATGTCTGATCTTCATCCGCATGTGGACGACCTCTTCTCTACGACTGCTGCGTTTGGAGCTGCACGGTTGGCACCTCTTTCTTTATTGTATTTGATTTGCTGTGCGCTGTTGTCCCATCGTCTTTGCCATTCTTGGGATATGGTTTCTCTTAGAGGTTGTGGAAGTTCAGATGCTGTAAAAAAAAATTACCGTGACCTGGATGGATAACAGCTTCTTTTGCTGCTCTATTAGCCATTTCGTTTCCTTTAACGTCTATATGGCCAGGCGACCAGATAAAATTGCCGATATTTCAACTCCATGAAGGACAAATATTGATCGAAGTTTACCACACAATTTTATGGAATTCCCTAGAGAATACTTCAAGACCAAATTCAAAAATCAGTGTAAAATTTGGATATAGCTCTTAGATAAAAAAAAAACGAATAGGAGCTGAATGAGTCAATCGCGCTCATTGAATTAAAAAAATATATATAAGCTTAAAAATGTAATTTTTAGTTGATCAAATTTTGGTCACTAATCTTTCTTTAAATTTTATTTTGTTCGTCAACACCAATTATCATTACTTTGTTAACGAAGTCTGTATGTAAAATTGATTTTAAATCATAAAAATTAATGTTATTGCAAGATTCGGCACAATATAAAAACATTTTACACACGTCCTGGAGATATGCAAAATTACCTTAATCTATTAACAAGTAATGAATACTTTTTTCATTATTGAAACACAATTTTCAGTGAGACTAGTTGCCAAAAATTTAATTAAATAGATATGAAAGAATTCCCAGTAAATTCAAAAGATAATATTTTTATAGTCAGCAATGGAAAAATATTCACAATATAGCTCAAAATTTATAAGCGAACTTCGAAATTGTTATACTAAGTCAATACTTAGTATAAAACAATTTCCTTTCCTTTTCTTAAACAATTTTTCCTTTCAGATCTTCTCATTTCATGTCAAATAAGTATTAAATTTTACTTCTTTCTTTATTCACTGCCAAAATACTTTCTTTTTTTAAATTATGAATTTATTTAGCTTTTTAAGATTTTTCTGACCAGCTTTTTAATATATTGTGAACTATGGAGAGATTTTTTGACCTTTGATGAGATAATGTTCAAGAATGTGATGAGAAATAATACATGTTAGGTAGGTAAATATTGTTTTATCTTTTCAGATGATTTTTTTTTTTAAATTTAAAACCACTCCTCTCACCTCTGCTCCTCTTGTACCATTTTATACAGGCGGGTCTACCGAGGGAGGGGAGAGCCCCAGCCCGAAAGCGGTCTCTCCCCTCCCCAAAAAAATGTAAAATGTAACCATGGTGAAAAATATTAAAAATTATCTCATAAAGTATAATTGTTTTTGTAATTACATTTCAAATGACTTCAAGAATCACTTAAACGCCATTTAATATAGGTAGTTAGTATCTTTTTTTTCCAAAGTAATTATCGTTATACAAATGAAAAAAAAAAAGTTTTCGGGCCGAAGCCTCCTTAAATTAAATCCTCGATCCGCTAGTGCCATTTTGTATACTTTCCGAATTATGCGCAAAATTGTTTTCTTTTCTGCTTTTTTTTTGGGAGATATACTACTTATATGGTTATATATATATTTAATTTTTTTACAGACAATGAATATCTTCAGCCGCGAGATGTGGTCTCCTTACAAATGTATGCTGCTTGCGGGAGCACAGATAGCCTGGATGGGGTCACCCAACCTCACTTTACTACGAATCATGGTCTCCATGGTGCAGCGGCAGGCCACCCGTAGCTCCATAGTCGATCCCTTTGGGGCCAATTTGGCAATGTCCTTCCCACCGACTCACTCGGGTTCAAGGACTGCGACAAATCGGTTTAGATCGATGGATTATGGCTGCTCAGAGTCAGCAGGCGCACGAGGACCTTTATTTCTTTCCCGAAAACAGACCGTCTATAGACGGAACCTCAGGAGGGCTATTAACCACATCCCGATTCCCGATCTAAGTACACGAGGTAGGGTCATCAGTCCTACGCCCGGTCGGTGTGAGTTGCCTCCAGTAGCCTGACGGGCCTTGCATACCCGGAGGAGGGGAGAGAGACATGGTTTTCCCTGGCGGATGGTCAGCCAAATCGGACGGTTACCCATCCAAGTGCTAACCACGCTCGACTTTGCTTAACTTTGATTACCTATTGCAAGCGCCTTAGCCAGTACGGTTACACCAGCCCCATATATATAAAGCATTTTGATCAGCTATTAATTTTAAGGAAAAGAGGTTTTCGGCAATAACACATCCCAATTGCACACAATATGATCAATTTTATACACAACCATTAGAATCCTAAATAAATCACTCCATAAAAATCAGTTCATCCGTCAAGAGATAATGATTAAATTAATTGTGATTAGGGATAATGATGATTAAATTCTAGCTGTCTAGATTACAACTCTATACGACAGTATATATTAAATGGTTTCTCTTTTTCCACTAATACGCGGAGTAAATGACATGACGAAAATCAAAACTCGATTAATGTATAATTAATTATACATATAACATTAATAATATAACATGTTATAGCAAATAAATTTTAAAAACAATTAGTTGTTCAAGAGTAGGAAATCGACAAGTTAAATGAGTTCAGATTTTTTTAATTGTTGGATTTGAGTCGGATTGTAAAAGTTCGAAACATTACCAAAACGTTATTAAATTACTTATAATAATTGTCAAATTATTAATCTATCTTATTACGGCTTTAAAATAAATCAACCCTAGCTGATTGGATTTTCTACTAGCTCTGTATAGCGGCGACAGGGAGAGTTGAGCGATTTCTCCTTTCTCCAACAGATCACAGGTAGGTCGCTGAAGCTCTACTAGATTATTTACTTATTACAACTAGGCAATCCTAACGAATGAAATTCTATTATTAGGTATGTTAATAACTGGCATTCACTCTTAGCAAGTAACATTAAAGAAGTAAGTCTTGTTCTACTTTTTACATATTATATTCTTTGTAACAAAATCATACAAAAGTTAAATTGATCCACTTATTAGAGAACCTCAGATAATGCTTGTTTGTCTATAAAAATGTATTTGCGCCTGTCAACTTATTGTTGACAATCAGCAAATGTGATGGCGATACATGAAATTATGACATGACAGGTATGGGGAAGGAAAGTACTCAGCAGTACCTCTTCCCTAACTTGATCCAATTACTTAGGTTGTTTAAGGAAGGAGATCTCTCATCCATCGACTTTTTAGTCTTCTCCTCATGTTCTGAGGTATGTCAGCTATATGTGTCAGTCATGTCTTTTATTAGTCTGTTATTATGTCCGATTAAATTTAACCAGATTAGTGTAAAATCGTTGATAAAGTATCGATATATATTGGTCAATTGTTGGAAGGTGGAGATCAGTATGTGGATTTGTGCTAGTCATGTACCAAGGTGCTTTTGTTATGAGTCGCAATAATTTTGATTGGAACGTTTGAAGTTTTTGTGGGTGGATCTTTTTAGCGATGCCGAATATTTGTGAGGAGTATGGATTTAAGGATGAATGTATAAGTATTCAATTTCTGTTTTAGTTTTAGTTTTGAAGACTTAGAAAAAAGAGAGTAAAGTAGTTTGAGTCTTTTGTTAAGTGTCTTACGCTTCATTTTAACATGCGGACCCCATGCCATCCTTCTGTCGAAGGTGAGTTCAAGGTAAAGTACCGTGTCCGTTTGAGGAATTTGATTGTTATAAATATAAACTAGAGGGCAAATGTTTTTTTTTCGAAAAGTAAATGTTGAATGTTTGGATTTGTCATGATTAAGTCGAATTTTCCATAGTCATTACCAATCTAGTAATTTAAGTAAGTGATGTTGTAGAGTTATTGAGGCCTGTGTAGGGTCTTGATGTTTTGTGAGAATTGTTGTATCGTCTGCATAGGTAGCTGCCAAGATCTCATCGTTAATAGGTACATCGTAAGTGTATATAGCGTAAAGTAAAGGGGCTAGTATTGAACCTTGGAGAACTCCTGCCAAGATTGGACGAACTGAAGACATTTCCAAGTCCTTCCGAACTGAAAAGAATCTGTCAAAGAGGAAAGATTGAAGGATAAGATAGTAGGTGTATGGCAGCATAGTCTTATGTTTAAAGAGAAGATCCTGGTACCAGACTCTATCAAACGCATCCAAAAATACTCTAGTTGCATATAGTTTTTGTTCTAGAGCTCCAGCAATGTAGTCTGTAACTTTGTGCAATTGGTGTGTCATCGAATATAATGTGGGAAAGCCAAATTGGTGGACAGGTATTGCCTATACGTTTTTCATGAAGATATAAGTCCAGTTCAGTTTTGTGTTGTGTCAGTCCATTTTCATTCCACAGAAGGATGGACAAAGAGCCCACAGTTAGCTGATTAGCGGCCATTTTGTGGATACATGGCTTGATTCACCTGTGCAAGCTGTTGGAGGATACTAAAAAGGGGCAGCTTGAGGGAGTTTAAACCATTGAGTAATTGGAGCAATTGGGGTGGATATATATAAATATTAATTTTGTATTTAATCAAACTGTATTTAATATGTTTGTATATCAGATATTATATACACATTTATAGTTCCAAATCTTTCTTGAGTTGTCAAGTCTTCAGGCCGTGAAAAAAACAACAAAGAAGCAGTTGGGGTGATTTGTGTTTTTACACAGACAGTATGATGATACCTTCTTAGAGATAATTTAATTTTAAATTGGTACAATAGTTGTTTTTTGTTTATTGTTTCAAATGTGGAAATAAACAAGGCCTAAGTCCCCACTCACTAAAGTGTACCTCCTCTCGACTTGATGAAATCAACCATATCCTTTCCCTTGGCTACGTACAGCGGCGTCCTACCGTTATGGTCCCTGGCGTTCACATTAGCTTCTCTATCCAGAAGCAGTCCTGCCATGATCAAGTAACCATTGCTAGACGCAAGGTGTAGAGGAGTCATCCCGTTGTAGGAGGCGCTGTTGACATCGGATCCTTTCTTCAGAAGGTAACCTGTCGCATGCAGACGGTCACTCGCTACCGCATGGTGGAGAGCTGTGAACCCGTTGATGGACCGTGTCCGGAGGTCCGCAGCATGGTCCAGCAGGAGCTGCAGCATGTCGGTTCCATCACCGGTGTAGTTGACGCTGTGGCCCATGGCTGCTTCATGCAACGGTGTCATTCCGCTCATATCCGCGCGGTTCACTATTGCTGACCGGTTGAGCAAGAGTTGTACTACATCGATATGATCGTTCGCTGTCGCCCAAAACATCGGCGTCCACCAGTAGTTGTCGAATGATTCTATATTGGCGCCATGGTCAAGTAGCAATTTCGCTGCTCCGTAATCGCCGTTGTAGGAGGCTGTCTGTAGAGGGGACATGTGAAATCCGTCTCTGGATTCCAGGCTGATGTTCTGCGCGATTAGCCACTGTATGGCGCTCTGTTGTCGTTCTTTGGTTGCCCAATTAAGTGCTGTTCCATCCTTGTCTGACCACACAATCTGACTTGGTACTGCCTCTTTTAGCAAATTTAAAACCTCAACGTTTCCACCCCTTGCTGCCCAGATGAACGGTGGCTTTTGCAGTTTATTATCTAAGACGTCTAGGGGTACTCCAATCTTGATGAGAGCTTTCACTACATCCCCTCTCCCTTGATAAGAGGATCGGTGTATCGGCAGAAGACCATCGATCCCCAGCTGGTTTGCGAACATCCAAATGATTTTAAAAGTGGCAGATTCTGTTAAATTAAAGTAACAGCGAAGGACGTGTAGATAATCCTCATTATTGGAGGTCACCTGTAAATACAACAATGCTTTTTTAAAAAATCTATATTAATTTAGATTCAAATTAAAGTGAATACTTTAAAATGAAGATTGATAATGTTGGTACCAGATCGTAAATTAATCTTTTTTTTTTCTCTTATTTGGCCAATTCAGATTATGAGGAGAGGATATACCGGCTATCTTACAGATAACCAGTGTATTATAACCGGAATAAAAAGGGCCAGATACATTCTCCAAATCCACTTGGATCTAGAGAGGTTTAAACAATAAACGGGATGACATGATTCTCAAATGTATTACTGTTTCAAAGGGATATGGATCTGAGAAAAGCACTGAAATGTTTGCTCAGTTGGATCTTAATCATAGAAAATTTTGTTCTAAATTGATGTAAGTTATTTCATCGGCTGATTAAGCTATCACCTTTAAATATAATGAGAAAAACTTCGTATTAAACAATCTGAATCAATAATGAGGGGAAGAAATGATAGATTTATTGGTTTCTGACTAAATTGAGCTTCAGAAAGAGCTAGAGAATTTACTTCATTAAAATTCAGACGGATTATGAAATTATAAAAATATTTTTTAAACCTATGTTATATACTTACCTCAGTAATCATATGAAAAGATGAGGCTATTAATATCAGATGTAGTAACATTCTTGAACACCAACCTTAAAAAAAAATAACAACAATAATATTAGTACTGATAGCTGAGTTAAAAAGTTTGTATAAACTTAATAAATTGACCGTTAGGAGCATTGTGATCTCCAGCAGGGGCCTGATACCGGTGTCTACTGTGGAAGCTACTGACAGGCTGGGCCTCCCAACTCATGTAATAAATGAAGCTCAGAAAGCGGTGCTGTTGAATACTGCCAGAATTGTAAGAAGCTTTCTCAACATCCAATAGAAATTAAAATAGAACATACCTGAGGTGGTTGGAGTTGATTCTCCCCCTCTCAGGTAAACAAAAAACCTTTTGTAAAAGTGTTGACAAATAAATAGTAATAATAATACTATAAACCAGGTATTATAACCCTGGTAACCACGAGGGTCGCAAAAAATTAGAAAATATCAAGAACTTGCTTTCGAGTTAAAACGCTATATCACTTCAAAAAAGTGAAGATTACCCGGAAATGTCATCCGAAATCGTCCATTGTAAAAATGAGTCTATCGAGAAAAGTGGGAGGACATGGCTTTCAAGTTTATTAAAAGCATGCCGCGAGGAAGAAGCAAAACTCTGAAACTATTTTAGAGGTAATGGTTCTTCTAGGATCATCACAACTATTGCGGCACTGGACTCCGGTTATACAGCTTTGAATCTTCATCGTGAAAGGCAATCCTCATTGGTTCCAAGCATCTCATTAGTTCCCTTCCTTTCTTTCCTGTACTTTACCTCAATAACCGTCCCATCCATTTTTTCCGACAGTGATCTTTGATCAGAACCTCTCTTGGAACAACTACATTTCCCAGATTACCCGTAAATCCATAACTATCCTTAAGCAATTCCTTCGATTCAGTGATTCCATTCCAAAAAAAAAAACTAGACAGCTCCTTGTAGCATCCCTTGTTTTCTCTCACTTCCACTATGGTTGCTTGCTGTATGGAGGACTGTCCATTGGACTGGAGAAGAGACTGAAGAAACTTATGAATTGCTTCATAAGATTGATCTTTGGGATTCCCAAGCGTTCTCATGTTTCTTGTTGGTACACCGAGTTGAAGTGGCTTTATTCTACTTCCCGACGGCAATTCCTTCATGGTGTTTTTCTTTTCCAAGTCCTCAGAACCAAAAACCCTCCCTACATCTTAGAACTCCTTGCTTTAGGCCCCTCCATCTACTCTCTCTACACCAGATCTCAACCTATAAATTTATTTATCCCCTCCCTTAAAACCACTTCTTTCAGTAAATCCTTTGGCATTCGTGCTACCTCCTCGTGAAATTCTTACCCATCTCCATACTTCAAATCACGTCCATAAACTCCTTCAAACAACTCCTATTCTACCACCTACCACGAATTCAAACTTCCTCAAGCTTGTAAAAATGTATGGGTTTTATAATTACGTTGGTCACCAGCAGTTAATTGATAGAAGCCATTTTATTTTTATTTATTAATTTTTTTTCTATCCCAGTATTTCTTGTATATATTTGTGTTTTTCCTTAGTATTTTTTGTAGGTATTCATATTTTCCTTTGTATATATTAGTATTTTCCTTCATATATATTTACAATTTCCTTAGTATTTTTTGTATATCTACATGCCAGACTAAAGTACATATTTTTTTAACTATACCATCAGTATATTGATTTATAAAAAAAAAAAAATTATCCAGGCTCATTGTTTGGATCAAGGGTCTCATCTCCTCCCTCCTTCACGGTCCGTGACAGATTCTTTGATTACAGGCAAAATTTAGAAAACAATTTAAACAATATTAAATTTAGTAAATCACTTAAACACGAGGTTAATGCAACATTTATTGCATGAGTTTCTCTTAAAAAGCTCATTTCACGATTAAGTGTCATATATAGAAAAAATATTATCTTTCATCATAAATTCATCGGGACTTACAATTAGCGGAGGTCTCAATGTGGCCCGAGGAGAAAAAGGTTTAGAAATATCTGGTTTAGAATTAGCTCAGAGTCAATAGAAGATATAGGTATTGAAAAAAAAATAATTCTACATTCTGTCATGGAAATTATACTTAATTTCAAAATCATCCATTATAATAGTTAAAACCAGTGGTTAAAACTGTTGTGGAACATTTTTAAAAAGGTCCATTTTAACATTTTCTGTGAAACGTTTTAGGAAAAATGTTCTTAAAAGAAAAGTTGTAAGGAACATTTTTGTAATTAAGTTCCAGATTTATGGTAATTGTTTAAATTATTACTTTGAAAAAGTTCCATTAAATGAAACATAAACAGTAATTGGCCTTAGATTAGAGTAATAATTTAAATAGCTATTAATAAAACTATCGGCAGAACTTCCAATAAAAGTTTTTAAAGATAAAAATTCGAGCATTACGCATTAGGTAATTTATAATAGAATATACTTTATTAACGAGATGGTTTAACTTTTTTTTTAGTTTTATCTGAAATTAAACAAGAATAAAATTAAATTGAAATACATAAATACTTTTAGCTTATTAAAAAGTTTTATTTTTAATTGTTTTTGGTTTTATGCTGTAATTTTCTAAATTTTTAAAAACAATAAAATCGTTTAAACAAACAGAACAACTGCAGTTATTTGAGATATTTATTTTATAATGCCTTATAAATTAATTGGTTATCAAGATCATAGCAAAACGTTATTAAATATATTCACTATATGTATTCAATTCTATTTATTTCATATTTATGTGAAATAAAATAATTCAGTAGGTGCTTATTTATTTTTTTTTTCATTTATTTTTTACCTTCCAGGAGTGTCATCCTGGTCGAACCTAGTTGGTCCCCTTTGTCAATCGGTACTGGATTCAATGGATTGATGGATGAAATTTTCACTAAGTTTAGAAACTTAAACGATGGATTTTACTTTTTAGTATAAGTTATTGTAATAGCAGTCTCGACTATTGACTAGAGCTTCAAAATTGTATCCGCTCACTGTTATATAGGCTGGATTTTACAAATAAATGTTGAGAAATTCGATTCACCGTTAATAAATCTAAAATACTTGAATGTTTTTACGTACGAAATTCAACTGTATCCTTTGCTTGAGTCGATATTGTGAATACTGAAAAAAATGTAAAAGAATATCTAATCTCGGCTATTTACTGCCACTTCAACATTTTGATACGGAATTAATTGAGGAAAGTTTTTAAAACAAATAATTTAAAATTTATTTATTATTTAAAATAACTATCAAGTAGAATTTAGAGTTTTAACCGAATTTCCTTTTACTTCAGTAAACATCCATTCTGTTCCAACATCCAAAAATTATCATGCATGAATTTTAATAATAATGCATGAAAACAGGAGAATAACTTCAATATAAAAATCTGTTGTAGCGTTCATATCTATATATAATACAAAATAGTATCTATATAAAATATTTTTTTTTTTTCCTACCCCCCGGGAATTTCTTTATTACAAAATACAATATATAAATGGTATATAAAATATATTTTTTTTTGTTCCTACTCCCCAGGGATTTCTTTATTACAAAATACAATATATAAATGTTGTATATACATAACTTTTTTTTTATTTCCTTATAAAATGAATTTGTGATCGACTGTAACGAGCTAGTATAAAATGTAAAATAATTCTATTCCACCTCAAATCGGAATAGTCGCACGAGAAGAGAACGTAAAATTGGGCCCGTAAACTCAAGTCAAAGTTGGTCTTTCAAATATATATGTATTTAATAAAATAAATGTATCCTATGATTTTTCGACCCATAATAATACAATAATATTTCGAGACGGTAATATAATATTTCGAGGGTAAGACGGTTTGTAAATAATGCTGATTGTATAGGTTTGCGTGTGTTTATGATGCTATTTTACATTATTTATCATTTACTTTATTATATTTTATTTTTTAAATTTAATTATTTAGTTATTATATAGTTTATATTTCTCAGTTCTAATATATGGCTGTGAGACTTGGACGCTAACCAACACCCTAGTTTTAAAAGATTTGAGAGGAAAATCCTCCGCATGATAACCGCAGCGATCTGGGATCAGACTACTAACAAATGTAGAAGAAAGACCAATAAAGAACTGCTTACAGAAACTGATCAATTAATATCCCATGATATGTAGATCGAAGTAGATGTGAAAGCTTCTACGTAACAATGAATGCCTCAATAGAAGGCATAAGACCACATGGAAGGCCAAAAAGCAGATGGATAGATATAATCAACAAAGATGCAACAGAACTGCGTGCAGATAAATGGAAAGAAATAGCCCAGGACATGCAGAGATGGAGCAGGCTTGTTAAGGCGACAAAAAAATTTACATGGTCTTTAATTCCAAAAGAAAAAACAAAAATTTCTATTTCACTTAATTCACTTATTTTCTTTGTATATTTGGTGTGAATGACTTCTTTGTTCACTACTAACAATATCCTCTGTTGTGATAGAATGCATTATTCCTAAAAAAAAATGTAAGTGAATAGTATACAGTAATTGGTATCTTAATCTTAATTAACTATACTAAACCAGTACTTATTTAATAGATTAGCTACTCATCATTTTTCGAGAGGATTAATAAACTGTTCCCATTGGTCCCATGACTCTAACACTTGTCCTTTACCGTCAACCATTACGTTATATAGAAAGTATATAAAACAACAAAAACATAAATAATAAATTGATATTTTATTTATTTTGTTTGTAGACGTTCTAGAGTGGCAGGGAAATAAAAGAGAAGGACTTTTCCTTCTGAAAAATGTAGGAAAATTGTTTCCGTCTATTTGAGTCCCTGAGTGGGAAGAGCCCCTCCCCACTTCCTCCCAACTTATTTTGACTTGGAAATGACGTAAATTCTATATTTCCCTTCCCGTCTACAATTCTCCAGCTCCAGAACAAGCGGCGATGTATTCGTCAATATGGAAATACGGAAACACCTCCAAAGTCTTGGAGTTGTGTTTGGGCCTCGTTCGGTAGCCGCTTTATCCTCCTTGAGCACTCGTGTAATTTTAGGTTCGGGTGTTTGAAATGATTCGTTATTTACTTTATATGAGGAAAAAAAAAAAAAAATTACCCGTTCTACGAAGGAATCAGTGGTGATTTATCATTTCAAAATTCTCCAACGAATTAGAAGAGCGAAGAATTACAGAATAAGTGATAGAAGTAGCAATTATCCTATTAAAAATCTTGTTGTGCGGAGAGGCAATGCAGGATAAAAATAAATAAATAAATATGATGAAATTTTTTTTTAAAAAACAGAACTTTACCTCAATTTTATTAGATCATTTTTTAATGCAATATATATACGTACATTATACTTATTCATATATTTTTCCAATGCATAGAAAACGAATCAGAGTTGGAGATATACATAGGAATGATCTTCAATTGTTTCAGGTTGTGTTACAAGTAAAGAAATTTATATATTTAAAAAAAAAATTTGGAGTTTGATGTTGATCTGCAATCACTTACAAAAGAAAATTTAAAAAATAAATGAAACATGTAAAAAAGAAACAAAATACTTTGAACAAGCGACTGAAAATACTGCACTCATTTTTTTTTTTCAAATAGAAAATCAGACAAAAACAAAATACATACAATTACCTGTTCAAGCCCATTTGGGCAAACGGCTCTCAGATTTACGGTTCAACCAAAAAAGACTCACTAACAAAAACTACAATATTGTCAATTTGAAATTTTAAGACTAAAACTGCGACCCCCTGGTACGTCAACTACAAAACTTTGCATACCGACCTAAGACAACCAACTATTGACCAATACATATCTACTCTATATCCCCGGTTTCATATACCTACTTGGTCACAACAGGGTTATAAACGACATGGCCACGGATGCTCATCAGGAGGTGACTGAAAAAGCAGAGATGGGCAAATGCTACTCTGAGTACCGAATACTAACTATTTTACTCAAACTGAATCACTATTAGGAATTCAATCACAACTTCAGTTAAGCGTTTGGCATCAAATGAAGTTGTAATTAAACTCTTTGGTACTCAAAAAGGAAAGAGGTGCTGCTGGTTACAATTCTTCGTCGTACCTATCATTCCATTTTGTAGCGTAACAAAAAATATGCTAATTGTCACTATCATGACCGGTGTGGATGGAGATTTGAAGATAAAAAAAAATAAAAATAAAAATAAAGATTTCTTAGAAGAATTTTATTCCAGTGATAATTAAGTGTTTTTTTTCGCTGCTTGTTAAAAACATTTCAAGAATTCAATTTATTCAGTTTCATATTGAAAAAACAAAACATTGAAAGAAACAATTTTGATACACAGACGTAGATTGTGTTCTTTCCAATATTTCTTAATCTGGTACATTTCTGCCATAAAATCTTACCTTCCGCCTGTAAATCTTAGGTTTTATTGTATTCATACTTGTATTATATTTATACAACATTTCAACTATAAGTAAGCGATTTTTTCTATGTTAATCTAGCCTATTTGCAGACATGGCTGAACCACTTGTCCTGTCCTACTGGGTTTCTCAAAAATATCAAGACTTCCTCGAATATTTTGTTTTTATTAGGCTTCATGCCTTTATTACTTTATTACATGCTATCTAAGAAAGCGAAACCTTTTCGATTTTTTAGAGAAAAAAGTTATGAAGGAAAAGAAATTTTATTTGAGAATAACTGAAAAAGAATATACTTCTTGCTGAGTGCACCTCGGAATCGGACTATTTTTAGCTAAGATAGATCTCGTCAAGACCAGGAAGAGGTACTGCTGAGTACTAATCTTTCTCATGCCTTAAATGCCAACTTTCTTTACAATGAGAACACATCTGCTTATTGTCAATACTATGACAGGTGTGTGGGCGGGGTGGCCGAATGGGCTAACGTGTGTGCACAGCACCGCCGTTCCCCGGCAACCTGATACATAGCATTACGAGATAAAAATATTCACGAGTTCGTATCCCGGTGCTGGGGGAGTCTTTAAATCCCCGCCCTCACTCCCTGGCCAGAGAAAACCCCGTATAGCCTTGAAGGCGAGGAAGGAGAGGAACCTCCAAAAAAAAAAAAAAAAAAATTGCGATAATTACATTTTAAATGGAATTAACAACGAAAAATTATTTAAATATCTGTTCCTGCTGAACCTAGCACTTCAGGTATGTTCACATGGTCATAATAAAGTTATTTTACCGCCTCAAAGATTTAAAAAATACTATTAATCATTTTAAATTTTAATAATCTTTAACTAAAAAATGTTTTTAGTTGTAAAATGTAATGATGAAACATAGGCAAATAAATAAATAACTCGCTAATAGACACTGTTAATCGACGACTATTAAGCCCAGACTAATGTTCAGAGAAAAAGACAAACGTTCAGACTCAGCCTCCCCTCCCCCCCTCCCCATGATCATTAAATACCACACATTCTCTAATTAATTGCGCGAGCTACATTTATTGCGCGCAGGCGACGATGGAAATAAAGCAGGATGGAGAGAGATATTGTCCTTTATCCTACAACGGCTTATCAAACTCCAACTTTAATTAAATTATTTACATATCTGGAATCTTTTACTGCGCCCGCCCCTCCCAGAAATACAACCCCCGCCCTCTAATGAATCAACTTTCTCTTATTTACGCTCTCCGTCAGTTTATTGTTACCTTATAAACTAATAAAGTTGCCTTATCTGCTAAATGGAGTTTCAGAGCGGCTCAGGCTCTCAGGTCTTTGGAGATGGACGGATTGTAGGACTGTTTAATGGCCCGGGATAATTGTCAGCTTAATTTAGCAAACTGAGAGTTTCTTTGTTGATTCCGATTAAAATAATAATTTCTAGTGTATAATTCATTATTTATATGATTCCATTATACAACCATCGCAAAAAAAAAATTATACCGATTATAGACAAATTTAAACCACTTTTAATATTTGTATTAAAAATAAAAACAAATTAAATTAGGGTAAGCGCATTTTTTGGCTTATGTCACAGTAATTAGTATAGTTATAAAATTCTCCGTTGGACATTTAGAATCTCTAGGTCTCATTTTTCTATTTAGCACTTTAAAATTGAAAAAATATTCAGTTATGCTAGTATAATCTCAATTAAAAAAAAAAAACACCTTTTTGCACTTGTGATGGACACCCGAAATTCAATTGTTCTAGT